CCTGCCGGCTCCCACACTGCCATTTCTGAGGAGAAAGAAAGATACTGTCTGGAAAGTTGTGGGCATTTTGATGTCTTATAGAGTTCAGGGGAGTCTGAGTCATGTAGGGAGACACTGCAACAGCCCCTTGGTTTTCTTTTCAAGGTGGAAGCTTCAGTGAGGAGGTTGGAGGACACGCCTCTGCAGTCAAGGACGCCCTGAATGCAGGCATTGTTTCTGGGGGGAGCTCCACTGCTTATTTCCTGTTCTGTCCCTACCTATTAGTGTTAGTCGATGTCACTGAGGACAACGGGCTCTGTGTCAGGCCTTCAGGGGGTTATTGGAGGCAGAGTATCACCCAGCTCAGCTGCACTCCTACCATTGTGCTGTAGAACACTAATATCTTACAAGCAAATAGACTCCTCAGAGTCCTTGGAGGTAAATAGATCTCCGATTTCCTTATTTGATATGTGTGCATGTTGCAGGAAAGTTGGTCTCAAGAAAGCTCAGGAAAGGCTAAAAGCTAAGGGCGAAGACTGATTAACCTAGGGGGAATGTCTTTTTAATAAGTAACACCTACAGTTTTAGCAAAGTAAGTCCAGATGGTAAGAACAAATAGAGACTGAAGATAGGCTGTTATTAACTATATATATTTATGATATAAAGATGTATTTAGAAAATCAACAGAGAAAATCTGCATGATGCCCATCTCCTCTCAGAGTATCATCATTGTTAAAATTAGATATTTTTGGGACCAGCAGATAGCGTAATGGCTACATTTCTGGACTGCCATGTAGTCAACCGCGATTGAGTCCTGGAGCTGGTGGCTTAAACTCATGCCAGGCATGTGTGCGTGTGTACCCAAGATCCTGAGAGGAGAATGAAGGAGAAGGGATTGTGGCATGGCTATCACCCCCGGAGGGGGGGTGATTTTTCACTTTCTCTCTTTCTCTCTGTCTTTCTGGCAAGCACACATGCCTCATACCACAAACCTCTCCAAAAAGAAAAAAAAAAACATGATATTTTGAAAAAAGAAAAACCAGACCAATTTTTTAAAAAGAATTATTTTGTTTAACTTTATTTATTTGCTTATTTTAATTTGACCAGAGAGGGACAGAGAGAGAGGGAGAGTGAGACAGAGAGAGAAAATGAGAAAGCAAGCCACCAGGTCTGGGATTCGAACGGTGGTCGACCATGTAGGAGTCCAATGCCCTTAACCACCATGCCACCTGCTGGCCCCAAGACCAATATTTTTAATGATTCCTTTACTCTTCTCCCCTCCTCAATTGCTAGGGAGCATGCGCCCTTGAGAGAGAGAGAGAGAGAACCTTCTCCCCAAGTTGGGCCAAATCACACTGCAATCCCTTCAACACTTCTCTATCATCTAGAGACCCTGGGCACATACCAATATGTCTCTCAAGCTGCTGTGGCAGGATTCAAAATGCAGTCTGTCATGTGGGATCCTTTACTCATTAGGTTGTGGGACTAGACCAATTGCTTTTCTTTACTCTTAAAGAGATAAAGGAAGCAAAACAGATAAAGAGCTTCTTATTGGAAGATGTCATCAATCTCTTCTGTGCTGAGTAGGACCTGCAAAGAATAGGAAAAGCGACACCATTTACAGAGCTTTCTTGTCTTATTTTTGTTAACGTCAAGACACTTTCTGTAAATTGACACATAAAATAGCAACGTATGCTATACATTTTGTATAACTTTGTACCATTGAATGATCTAAACCAAGGATGATTTCGAGATCGATTGCTTCCTTTCTTCTATATTCTGATATTTCCACAGTCTTCCATCCAATAATTTACATTTCCTTTTTCACATCACTTATTTCTCATCTTTTGTTCCTTTTCTGCTTTTGCCCTCTCACTTGAAAAAAGTCCCCAAATGCTTTCTCTCGTGGCATACGCTTTCCTCCAGCTGCATTGTCTATGTACTCTATCTCTTAAGCCTCGTTATGCTTTGTACCCAGAGCTGTTGTCTATGTAACTCTGATCTGAGCTCTGTTCTCCAAGTTAGTTGCATGCACCCTTTTATGTTTACGAGCATAGATTTCCAGCAAGATGATGATGTCAAATGAAATAGCATGATGTTTAAAAGATCAAACAAGCATTGAATAAAATTATGTAAATCACTTACAAGAAGTGTATTCATTTCACTCCATTTCCCAAAATCTTGAGCAAGGCCTCATCTCTGAAACAAGACTGCTCTACCAGCTCTTGGGGCTCCTTCCCCCCCTCCCCGGCTGCTCTATGCTCCACACATAGATGCCTGTGTCTAGGCCCAGTGAGTCTGCAAAGGGCCCTATTTCTAAAGTTCCTTAGCTACCTTGGAAAGAAGAGAGCTGCTGCTAAAGGTGTTACGCACCTTCTAGTTTTCCAGAAGTAACAAAACAATTCACAGAAAAAATACAGAGGAGCAAGAGATATCTGTTCTGGGGGCTATCTGATGATTTAGATTAGAACTCAGTTGCTAGGTGTTTTGCTGCATCAGGGAATTGAGGAGGGAGAAAATAAATAAGTTATAATGTTCCAGGGAGTATCCTACACCTCCCAAAGATATTCCCTGTGAAGATGTCTCTGGCCTAAGGCACCTGGTTGGTTTGCTTTCTGGCTGGCCTCAGGAGAGGTGTCACCTTTATTACAATGCTAATTATAATGGACAATAAATGATACTATATGGGTGACTAAGCTCTGGAAGTCTTCATTAAAACAGCAGCTCAACTATCGATATAACACCTGGAGGTACACTGTTAAAATGATGTGTTTACCCTTACCAATGTGCATCAAATTTTTGTTAGAAAGTTATTTGAACATTTTTATTTTTTTACTGGAAAAAGTTCAAGGTACATAAAGGTGGAAAAAATAGTATAAAGAAACAGTGGATACTCATCACACAGCTTCAACAACAGCTCAGCTTTTTGACTATCTTGTTTCACTTACCCTTTCCACTTTTTTCTCTTGGGGGGGTTTACATTCCAAAACTTGATAGCATGATACTCGCGAATGTTTCAGTAAGCACCCTGTAAATTATATAATAGCTTCATTTGTTATTGCAAAATGCACCCCTAGGACAAAGTAAGGAATTTGGAAAACTCTCCCGTGGCTGAAGGCATTGCCCAAATGATATCTAGTTGTTCGCGTTCTTGGAAGCCGAGACTGGAGCGAGGCACTCCCTGGAGACCCACGGAGGTGCCTAGAAACAGGGGACGCAGCCGGAGGGCAGGTAACTGAATGCCATCAAAGCGGTTC